TTCAATGGTGTGAATCATAGTACATAATGGACAATACTAAGGAGAATAGACTTTCCAGAATACGTATTGAGCTCCTGCAGAACTGTCCCACAGACCAGGAAGCAGTGGTTCAGACAGAAAAAACATGATACTGCCTGGTTTAAAATCAGCAAAGGTGTGTGTCAGGGCTCTATAGCAATTAATCTGAAAAACTAAGCTATGTGAAGCCAAATACAGGGTCAGGATCGGAGGAAGAGCTGTGGTATGCAGATGGAATACCTTGACTTCTCAAAGTCAAGAAGACATACAGACGAATACTAAAGGCTTAGGCCTTGATAGGGATTGCACCTCAACATTAAAACAAACACACACAAAAGTCCCCATAATCAGACTAACAACCGTCATCATGATAAATGCATCAAAGAAGGAAGTTGTCAAAGATTTCATTTGCCTTGGATCCACAGTTAATGCCCATGGAAGCAGCAGTCAAGAAATCACATGATGGGTTGCATCAGGCACATCTGCTGTGAAAGACCTCTTCAAAGTGTTAAAAAGCAAAATGCCGCCGAGGACAAAAGTGCACCTGACCTAGCCCCATGGTATTTCAATTGCCTCCTATACATGCAAAAATGGGATAAGAAAGACCAATGAAAAAATTGATGTATTCGAATACTAGTGTTGGTAACAATATTAAATGTAATATGGCCAGCAGAGTAATCATGGTGGATTGGGTGAAGCACTATGATGGGAACTGCAAGATAAGTGGTTCAAATTCATCAACTGCTCTTTCAGAGAAAGATGAGGCTCTCTGTCCCTGTGAAGATGTACAATCACAGAATCCCTCTGGAACATTTCTGTTCAGGTCTAGAGGGTTTCTATGAATGGGAGTTGACTCCTCGGTGGTGGTTTGGGTTTTTGGTTGGCCAGAAGAATGAGCCAGTCTGTCTTGGAAGAAGAGCAACCAGAATGCTCCTTTAGAAGGAGGGATGTCGAGATGTCATCTCAAGCACTTTGAACATGCTATTGGGATGGGCACATTCCTGGAGAATATACACTGTGTTTGAAAAAGCAGATGGTCAGAGAAAAAGAGCAAGACCCTTAATGAGATGTAGTGACACAATGGCTGCAGTAATAGGTTCAAAGGGAGACCACTGTGATGATGATGCAGGGCCAGACAGTTTTATTCTGTTGTCAAGTGGCTATGCATCGAAACGGGCTAGAGGGCATTCAACAACAATATTGTGTACCCTTGCTACAGAGGCCCCATGAAAAGTGACAGTTGTCCCGTAACTTCGATGTTGGTGGAAGCCTTCCCACATGTGCTCCTGTGGACTTGTAAGGCCCTGGTGTTCCTGATTCAGTGACTACCTGTTAATGATAACAGGCAAGGAAAACAAGACAATTGAGTGCAAAGAAAATACCATACCCTCACTTTGGCTGGTGGTGTTAGCTGATTCTCCTCTTTCATATTCCTCGGCTCCCCCTATTCTGTCATCACTACTCTTCCTCTATAACCCCCTGTTCCTAACACATTTAGTAGGAATGGTTCTGGTTAAACTTCTCCCTTCCCGTCTCCACCCTCTGGTGGAGGGATGCTGAATAGCAAAAGGTGCTGAAAAAATGAACAGCAAAAATTCTGAGAAAGAGAAGATAAATCGAAGACAGTTGCTTTCTGGAGTTGTTTTCCTTAAGCCTAACTTGAGGCAGTTAATTGAAAGTCCAATTTTTCAAATAGCATGCAATATTGAATCTGAATCAAATGCTTTTCTTGATTTTCCCTAAATGAATTAAACAGCCCACCTTACACAAGCCACTTTGTTTCCTTGATTAATTTTTCTTTTTTCAAACTGAGACACATATAAGATTCTCCCAAACTAATGGATCACAGTTAATTCTGACATATAAAATAACAGAGTCTTATAAGCAGTCTAGAAATTACATTGTCTTCATTACCACCGGATTGTCCGACATGCTTTCTGACATTGAATGTAAACATCAGAAGAAATAGAATGTCTATGCACAATACAATGTTTCTTCTCAGATAAGCCCTATAGCAAGATTCCCCACTGGATGGTAACTTATTCGAGAATCTGGATATTGTATCATCTTTGTATTTCCAATGTCCGCTCAGTTCAAAGCATTGAGGAAACATGTAGGGAAAGATCATATAAAGAAGGTGAGCCTTCATAGAAACCTGTAAGCTGGTATATCATAGCGATCAAGCTCAAGGTCCCAGATGCCTTCACTCTCAGTTCACTGGCCACGTCTCCTGTATTCTTTCTTCCTCCCTAATAACTAGCCGGCAAGCCTGTCAGAGGAAGTTTTAAGTTGTAAAGATAACAACACAGAAGCACCACCTTTTGTCTGAGAACATTTCCTCCTATTCTTGTCTTTTATTATCTCATCCTGCCAGTCAACATCTTGACACTAGGATCGCACTGAACATGGCTCTGCTGTAGAAGCTCTGCTGTAGACAGCTCTCAACAGTGCGAGTACACACACATGCCGGCAGTTTCTTCACCTTGATTCTCTGAGTAAGGAATCTTTCTTGCTTAATGGACCCCTTTAAGAGAATGACAAAGCTATGGATTATGACAAAAGCTATAGAGCCTCTCAGTAGGCATTAAATGAACATACCATGTACATGCACCACATTGTGCATTACGTCAAGTTTTTTATAGAGATATCGATGCCTATCCCCAAACCCTCTCGTAAGAAAGCCAGCTGTGTGCATCTAGTTGATTTCAACTCATTTCAACTTTATAGGACCGAACAAAACTACCTCCTGCAGTTTCCTAGGTAATACTTTTAACAGGAAGTAGATTGACAGGTCTTTTCTCCTGCAGATAGAGTTGGTGGGCTTGAAGCACTGAGGTTTTCATTTAGCAGCTAAACCCTAAACTACTGTGTCCCTGGGCTGCTTCTAAAAAACACCCTACATTAAGTTAAATTTGAAAAAATGAATGTGAGGTTATTTGGGGCCCCAGTGGCATCGTGCTTACCCGTTGGGTGGATAACCTCATGGTCAGCAGTTTGAAGCCACTAACCATCCCAACGACTTGTCAAGAGAGATACAGGCTTTGTCCTCCTGTCCTGCAGGATCACACTGAGGCAGCATCTCGATGGTAGTGAGTTGGAGATTTGGTGAGGTTATCTAATAGCTAAATACCTGCTCAATATTATTCCAGTTCCTCAAGTCGATGTACTTACAGAACTACAATTCAACATTAAACAATCAAAATGCAGCTCTCCTCTGTGGGTAGTAACTTTCACTCTCAGTATTATCAGGATGCAGAATGGCTCTCTTCAGGGAATCACTTCTGAGCAAAATCATAGCACTGCTGGGAAGGACTAAACCTTTGTCTCCTTAGGTGCTTTTCCAGACCAGGCTCAGACCCTAAAACTCTTGAGTTTCTACATATCTCACGTTACGCAAGGGTGGAGGTCTCTCAGTGGCCAGGAACATGGCCCTGAGTGTCATAACTCAACCAGTAAAACTTGCTGCCATTGAGCTGTGGAAACTCATAATGACCTTATAGGACAGGGTGGAACTGCCTCTGCCAGTTTCCGAAACTGTAACTCTTTCTGGAAGAAAGCCGCATCTTTCTACCTCAGAGCAGCTGGTGGTTTTGAACTGCTGACCTTGCAAATTGCAGTCCAATGAGTAACCATTACACCACCAGGCCTCCTAAATCCAGCATTTTCCTCTTGGATGTGCTCAGGTAAATTTCATAGCCAGTTTCAGATGTAGTGTCTTCATTTCTAAGGGGAATATAACATACAGTACTGTGCAGGGGCGTGCAAGGATCGGATGCGCCAACATATGAAAGGCAGTGAGTGCATTGCATGGGCTTTAATGTATGATCAAGAAATGGGAATGAGTATTACTATAATCATCAATAAAATACTTACTATAGTTCTTAAAATAGTATGCATGAATCAATGAAATCTAATATGTTATCAATAAAAGCTAATAGGTGGTCTCAAGAATAAGGAGAATTATGAATTCTCACTTTGAGGTTTCAAAACATGTTCAGTTTAAGTCATTGAGAAGCCACCATGTGGGAATGTGGGCAATAGATAAAGCAAAGGTAGTCTGTGATTTCAACCATCCCCAGCTCCTCAGAAGCCACCAAGTAGCCCACACAGCTTATGGGGGCAATTTCATCCAGTTTTGAGCCTGGATTTGTTCTTGCCCAGTTAGCTCACACTCAGTATTTGATGCATTCCTTCTTAAGCTGAATCTCTGCAGGTAAAATATTTGTACTAATTCATTCTTATGATTTAATCAGACAGAAAACAAAAACCATGAGAGCCCAAAGTTTCCTTTCAGTCTTAGAGGACAGGAAAAACTCAAAATGAGATTTGCTATCTGTGTTTTGCAAGAATCCCATTCAGAAGCCAGAGAGTGCTCTATCCCTCCTCCTTTTCTGCGATCACCATTGTTATGTTCTGTGCTCTCAGGCCATCCCACAACATTCAATTGTTTCAAGCCATTTTGGAAATAATCAAGGCGCACCATTTCTATCATAACTGTTCACTTCCCCAAATAGGAGATCATGCATACAATTTCTCATCTACTCCTTCTTATCAAGCCATGGGGACATGTTTTTCTTTTAATTTGTAGTTAAGAAATGGTTTGAATCTTTAAGACCACCTTCTCTGAGCCAGACCCTTTCTTTACTCAGAAGTTTCTTATCTTTGAAACTCTTTCAGTTGCTCCAGAAAACCAGGCCAGGTAACAGGGAGAGGAATCCACCCAAGTGCCTCACGTGCTGATATTTAAAAGTTAGCTGACAGTGAAAAAGCAAATCCCTTCCGCGAAGCGCTGCCGGATGTGAAATACCAACTGCTGGAATACCTCAAATGGCCCTGGACATCTTTCTTGCAGAGCCTTTCTCTTATGAAGACAGATGACAACCCCATCACATTTGTGCCACCACCATCTACCCACAGGCCTTCTGCTCATTGGACAGTCACGTCGCGGAAAAGACATCTCAGAAATAGAAACCATTACTTACATCTATAGGTCATCTCAAAGCTGTCGCTGATGTTCACAATATCAATCTGGGGAAGCAGCTTGGGGGGCTCTGTGAGTTGCGACAAAGCAAATCTAAAAGCGGCATGTTCCTGTGACTGCTGGTTTGGAAATAATCCCCCTGTGAGGAAAAGAAATACAACATGGTATCCAGGCTAGACACAGGATTTCCCTCCGCAGCAGCCCACACCAAATGGGCTCCTTTCTTCTGCCCATGTCAAACCCACAAGGTGTAGCCTGTGTTGGAGGGGGATACGAGTTCAATAGACTTCTGCAGATAAGCTCGAAGGTGATAAGAGCCTCCAACATCTATCACTCTGCTCAAACATCTGATGGCTCACCCCTCAACTCAGCTCAGCTCAGAGCAAACAGGAGCATAGGGCATGTCTCTTCCTCCTCCCGGGTGCACACCACCTGGGTGCCCTGGGCTCACACAAGCACGCTGTGATGCATTTTGTCCTGCTACCAAACCTGTTTCTTACCACAGAGCCTTATGAGAAGGAGGTGTTAATTCATGTCCATCTAACTTTGGACCCTGCGGGCTTCTGCAGGATTATAACCCTTTGCTTGTCCTTTCCCTCATGGTCTTCAGCCTGGCAAGACCTGCATGCCACTTAATGATTCCTTGCCAGTGTCTCTCACATTTATGATGCATTTCTTCTGGACAGCCTTGATGTTGAGCAAACAATGATTTGTTTCTTCTCTTATCACTTGCGATCCCAGCTCCCTGGGAATGACTTGTTACATAAGGGATTATCATTGTCTTTGCTCCAGAGAACTACTGTATGTTTTAAAAATGGGTGGTTTTAGGGATGTGAAGAGGATACAAACATTCTATTCTAGCAACAACGACAAAAATGGTTCCGGTCAAGGCTACTGTTCCAAGTGAAAAAGAGTGCACAGCTTATCTGTGTGCTTCCTGGGGACATGCAAGCACATTAGCATATGTTTTCTGGGAATGAAAATCAGCTATTTCCAGAGTCTGAACTATAATGAATGCTTAGAAAGAAGTTCGTCCAGGATCCAAAAGTAATCACAGTTCTCATGTAATGTACTTCTAACTTCTTACACAATGGTTACATGTTTGCTTTTAAGGACCAGTAAGTAGATGATAAGGCTTTTGTTGGAGATCATATAGTAGAATATAGTAGAATCGAGTATTACCTGATTTTAAAAGCAGTGTTATTTCTCAGCATTTGTTCTACACTTTCATGTTTCAACCTTTTTAATGGAAAACGAGAACAACACTGGCTTTATCAGTTGAACAAGCATGGTAAGGGTAAATCTGATGAACGATCTGCAGCAGAGAGACATGAGCAAAAATCCCATGTGCACACACACACACAGAATAGCCTCTCATGTTCTATCCACGGTAAAACATACAAATAAACTTGGAGAAAGCCACGTCCACACAAGCCTCCCCAAGGATTTGCATTCAGCCAAGTAGGAGAAATACTGAAGTAGAAACACGAGTGATGCCACATGTTAAAATGAATGAGTAGACCTGTATATATGTTTTAAAGAATAAAAACAAACAAAATCTATGTCCTTGATTCTGAGGCTACCTCTTCCTCCCAGATGACCACACCCCACACACTCCCCTGTCCCCTTCCCCCTCCTTTGCAATGAATGAAAGGGAAAGCAAGTGGTCAGGAGGCAGATAGCGAGTCTGGGCTTCAAAGGAAGTGTCAATCTGAGGCAGGAAGTTTTTCATGTTAGGCACTAACCCACCTAGCCCCACATAGGCTTCAGAATGCAGCTTAACAGGTGTCAGCAAACAAAGCAAGTTACTACTCCATGATGACACCAACAAACCTGGACTCCAGCTCGCTGGGGAGGCCCAGGGGAGACCCAGACTGCAGGTTTGTAAGCAACCCAACACCACCTGTACCTATCGCCATGCAAACACACTCCCAGGAAGAACACACAGTCCCGGCAACAGGAACTTTCCCTAGTGGAACTGCATCCCTGCGTCGCTATCTGGGGTAAGAAAACAAAAGCCAAACAACCCTAGAAACCTCCACGCAAAGCAGCCCCCTTGATTCTGGACACACACCTTCCTGGATTGCCACTAGCCACACGGAAGCCCAGAGCCCTGGGGCAAATCTGTTCTTGGTTCTATCACTCCTATTAGTTTTGTCCCTCTCACTCCACCCCACACAACCATTTCTGTTAGGAAGAGTCATGTTTATTAGGCATCCAGCAAAATCCTGAGAGAGTTGGCGGTCTGTTGGGCAGCAAAACAAGTGGGAAATGGAAATGTGGAAGGAAAAGCCATGCAGCATGTGGAACCTGCTTCCAAGTGGAGAGAATGGAGCCCGGTGATGGGGACTGAAAACAACGTAAGGGAGCGTGTGTGTGTGTGTGTGTGTGTGTGTGTGTGTGTGTGTGTGTTTCAACGATAGATAATGACTGTGGACACAAAATGTAAGGCAGGGAGCAAAGGAAAGGCTAGAGAGAAGGCAGATTGGGAAGTCCCAGGACTGGGAGGTGGAGATTCACTAGCCCAGTGAAGCAGACATCACAAGGAAGGCTCCCTTGCCTTGTCGTGGCGGCACCTGCCATCATTTTAGTGGCTGCCACAGACCCAGCGCCCTCCACTCCTTTAAAAGGGTCTCTTTCTCCTTCCTGAGGTAAGAAATCACTGCCCTTCTCAATGTAATAGACACATGCATCTTAAGTCGACGAGATGAGGAGACACATAACTACACACAGCACTCACACTTACATAAATAAATGAAACTGAGCACCAGCATCCATGCAATGGAGATAGAGCCTTAAACACCCACCACCGCTTTCCTTGCTACCGCTTGATTTAATTTATTTATTTTTACTCTGAAACAGTGGCTCCTCCATTTCACATGCTCCTGGCTGGAGTGTGAGTGGTGTGTGTGTGTGTGCGTGCGCGCATGTGTGTGTGTACACGTTTCTCCTTTGCCCCTCATCTCAACAAGAGAAGCCCCCTCCCCACACCGACAGCCCAAGTCCTCCTCCCATCACCGCTCAGCTTTAGATGGCCAAGCACAATGGCTAGAACTTGGCAGGGGGGCGGGGGGGGGGGATGGATTCCCCTCAAACCCAAACCGCTGGCCAGACCCTGAAAGTCCCTCCCCCGAAGGTCCCCCTCACTCACCAATCTGGATATTGTTGGGGAAATTGGCACCGACTACTGTGCCTAGGAAACCGGTGCAGAAGAAGGCAAAAATGTGCTGCATATTCCTTTTTGCATTGGCGAAAACGAAGCCCAGATCCAATCATAGATTTATAGATTTGGTGTCCCCCTGCATTCCCTTTATTCCTGTTGATGGTCTGCCGCTTCTTTTCCTCTTGCAGTTGCTTCTTTCCTTGCTTCCTTCCTTCCTTCTGTGAGGTTTGCCTCTTTTCCCTGGAATCTGAGCACTTAAACTGCAGCGTTAACACCAACTGACAGCCAGATTAACTGAGCACGGGAAAGAGGAGCCGTCCTCATGCTCGCTGGAGTGCTTGCTCCCCTCTCCCTCTCCTCTTGCAAGCCTGCCTCTCACTAGCTCACTCCCTCCCTTGCTGGAGCTAGCTCTCCCCCTCACACTCACACAGGCTGCAGGCTCTATGCTAATACCTAATGGGGAGACGGCTCGAGGTTCCTCTGCCGACCTCCTCTACCTCCCACCCCCTGCCTGGGGTTCTCTCCTCATCCTTCTTTTCTGTGGGGCTGTGTGTGTGTGTGTGTGTGTGTTTGGGGGTTGGGTGGAGTGGGATATGTGGAACTTGGTCCTAAAAGGACCAAGGACCAAGTCCCATTTCACCTTTCCCCAGCTCTCTCTCCCAGCCCACCCCTCTGCCCCCTGCCAGGCAGAGACTATTAGGAATGTGGGTTCAGCTGTCAGGAGGTGGCAGGCAGGGGGTCCCCACAATAGTCCTGGATCCACCTACTGCCTGATCTAGGTCACTTTTTTCCTAGGAGTGCATGGCTGTGCTGGATGTGTCTCCCGCACTCCACTGGCCCAATTAGTCCTACAACTAAGTCCTGGTGGGAAGACCCTAGAAATCCCTCCTGGAAAATGTAAGGGGAGAAATAAGAAAACTTCTCCCCCTAATGAGAAGAATGACAGAGAGACAAACAGGGGGGTTCCAAATGATTGGCAGCTGCCTAGATATAGATATTTGGCTGAAACTAAGTACCTTGACAGTAAGAATTGGTGGTCTCTTTCAAATACTAGGCACTAAAAAGTGGGCCCCCTCCCCCTTCCTCCACATTCCACAGGAGTCTATAACATCAAAAACAAGTGGGTGTACAATAAAGGCTAAGGATACTTACACAGAGCAATTACATGAGTCATTTTGCAGAGATTCTAGAGAGAGGATTCAGGCTTTTTCAGTTATCTCTGGATGCTGTTCACATCTGGTCTAAACAAGAACCCTAGAGACCCTCTTAGACCAGGGTTTGCACTGTGAAAGACCCATAGAGCAAACAATTCTGTTCAGGAAATTGTGTGGGTCTTCACACAGCAGTGATGAGAAGAGCCTGTCTCAGAGAATGTTACAGTTTCTGAAGCAATGTCACCGCAGTGTCTCACTTTGCCTTCACAACAACCCTGCAAGGTGGCTATGACCCCCATTTTACAGACGGAAAAAACCAGGGCTCCTGGGTTTGGCATATAAAAAACACAGACTACTGAGATGGAGTCCGCATCTTCAATCAAATCTATTAACTCACTCTGAGCATCAACAGAGGCTGGGATCAGGCCTCCTACCCAACAGAGCATAGTTCTGGGAAAGGAAAATCCACTTTTTTCTTCATTTGGAATAAGGAAGTATGGACTTAGCTACTTAATTAGTCCATGTTGGCCAGAAATACCTTAATTTCTTTGTCACGAGTGATCTGTGGGGTAGTTACAAGGACTGGGATTTGCAAAAACATATCTGGATCCAATGGGCTCACCAACTAGGAACAACAAAACAGAGAAAGTGGGTGCTTCATAATGTCCTGTGCACTTTCCCGCATACTCATTAATTAGCTCAACTCGTTTTTTAAGGCTAGTGTGTATTCATTGGTTACCAGGTATCAGGTACTAGGCTAAGTAATACACCTGATGCTTTCAATTAGGCAACAACCCCTGTGGCAAGAGGTTTCTAACTGCTAACAAGGAAAGGATTGAAGACTCAAATTCTGGAAACTGCATCTGACAAAAGCTCTTACCATGATCCTCTACTATCAGTAAACTTTGAGTAGGGACAATTCTCCAAGGAGGGTCAGAGACAGAATCGGGATGATCACCTCTGAGCTTCAAGGCCAACATGAAAAGTCTATGACTCGATGGTTTTATCTTATCATATGATTTCCTCATTTGCATTTTTTCTCTTACTATTTTAGAAGGTACCTGGGGAGCTTTCAAGTTCTCTGAGCTTTCTGCCTAGTAATAACAATTAGGCTGTCATTAAAGGCTTCACACTTCTCTGTCATCATTCAGAGGAAGATTCCAAAGTCCTTTATGAAGATCAATTAGCAAAATCTGAACACCCACCTGTAATAGGTGAGCATCATTTTGTTTGTTTACTTCGTAGGAGGTGGGAGGGGGTTTAAAGGAAACACCATACTGCGTTTCTGTTATTCTTATAAATGGCTGCATCTACCTAAAATATAATTCAAACTATGTCATTGCCTGACTGAAATACATTCAATGGTTCCCCTGGCTTATTAAATAAATAGCTGATCAGTGATAAAATAAGCATCAAACTTGCATATGTTGAAATTAGACATTTAGGTCAAATTATATGTAGGTTGAAAAGATGTGGATTCGAGGGTTTGTCCCATTTTCTTTCTTTGTAGGGAACCTACTGTGGGCCCAACAAGATCCCTGGTGCTAGGGAGATCCAGGGAGGGGTCAGACAGTCTCCCGCCCAGGGCAGATGGATGTAGAAGGAAAGGAAGAGAATTCAGCCAGCTCTCTTCTGAGGCAGAACGTGACAAGCTCGCTAATAGAGATGTAAGCACCACACTTGGGGAACCAAAAAGGAAGCAACCAATATGTTTGTCTGTGGGGATCCAGCAAGGTTTCCAAAGAGCTGGACCGTGAAGGATAAGGAAACCACAGGCAGAGAGCGAGAGCTGGGGGAGGACAGTGCATGCAGAGTGAACAGCACCAGGCCTCACACACTATGCTGCATGAGCCCAGTGTCTCTGGTGCAGGGCTGGATAAATAGGATGAGGGCACCTAAAACCCGGAAGAGGTCAGGGTCAGGGTTTTGAAGCCACTGAATTCGTGATGTCCTGTTGAATGTACCGGAACATTTTCAGGATGACAGTTATTTAATCAGATATGTAGGCAAGCAGAAAGAAACTGACTATGGGTGGAAGGTAGTATCCGTCACTTTAGAGTTTAGGACTACACATTGAAAAATCTCGTCCCCTAAGTGGTCTGTTCTTGCTCTGTCTTTCATTGGCTCATCATGTTTTCTCATTTTCTAGTCTCCAAAGCTATTATATATACGCTAATCTTGGATGATTATCTTCGTTTTGCATAGTCTCTCACTAAGGTGGTCAAATGACGTATTTGATGTAGAAGGTTCAGCTGCTAACTGAAAGGCTGAGAGGTTGAGTCTACCCAGACACATCTTGGGAGAAAGGCTGAGAGATCTACGTTGCAAAAGCAAGTCATTACAAACTGCCTGGAGCATTGTCTACGCTGACACACCCACCCTGAGTTGGAGTCTCCTTGATGACAACTAGTGTTTTTACATCCAGCATCTTACCTCTCTTCTCAGGAACCCCATAACCCTGTGTAGGAGTTAGAACCACTTGACAGGTGAAATAAGACTCAGCGTCATTAGATTTTTGCTCAAGGTTGTGGTTGTCCACTGGAAGTGACTTTGTCTCTTAGAGATACATTTGCAATGTCAGAACATATTTTGTTTCTCACACCTGGGGTTGGGTGTGTTATTGACTTCTCATAGATGTAGGACAGAGATGCTGCTAAGTCCCTGAAATATGCAAGACAGCCCTCTTCCCTGCCCATCCTACGCCAAGTCACCCACAACCCAGATTTCCAAAGAACTATCACACAAACTGCCGATTGTGTGGAGGTTAAGAAACTCTAGCGTAAAGAAACATAACAAGTAGCTAGATCTCAGCCCCAGTCTCCGCTATATTGCACTGGAGAAAAGATTAGGTTCATCCTCTTTCAAGCCTTCAGATTTAAAAATGGGAACCCTAAAGATGGGCACTCCTCAGAGCCCAGATGGCTGAGTCTCTAGTGGAAATAGATTCAAGATGAGCATCAAGGACGGTGAAAGGGAAAGTCTTCCTAATGCTGCCCACGCTGTGCTTCGAGAGGGCATGCCACTTACTCTTAAGATCGTCAGTGACTTATCTTGGTTCAGATCGCTGATGAGCTTTAAGTCCCACTATTATGTAGCCCAAATATCCTAAGATTTATTTACTAGACGTTGGTCTAACACCACACATCAAGGAGAAATGTGTTGAATTTTAAAAGGATTTCAAATTCCAATGTCTACTTAGCACAAGCCAGAAATGAGTGAAGGGGGCTGAACCAGGAGACAGACAATAGCAAGGACAAACAGGCCTGGAGAGCCTACGTGTCCATCACACCTGGTTGCAGGTCCTCAAAGGACAGCCCGTTGTTCCCATAGGGAAAATTAGGCTTGATGTGGCCAGGTATTCTTTTTTTAAAATTTCCCGCTAGGAGAACTATGGATTCTGTCCCTTAAAACAATATGTGTGCCTTTCTGGCAAGAAGAGAGAGGACTTGATCTGGGGACTCCTTGGGCATCACATGCTGATTCTAGTTCAGTGGAAGGTAGGAAACAAGGGTTCAACCAACTGCGTCCATACTAATTTGGAAAGCAAGTCTGCTTCCCCTTGTTCCTTCATCTACAGAAGGAAGAGGTTGGATGAGCTCTGGCGACAAGGCACCCAGTTCTTAATAGCTCCAATAGGCTGGGACTCCACTTGAGACCAGGGACCCGGTGCAATGGATGCCATCTGGGAGCTCTGTGCTCGCTGCCATCTCCTGTTCCCTTGTGACTATGTCGTTAGTCAGGTCCCTTCCCCACCCTGGGCTAGCGCCTCTATCTGAAATATGCGGGGGCTGTGCCAAGGTCTCTTCTCGTTTGAACATTTTAGGCTTTTAGTGTGAAACAATTCATGAGGAGAAAAAAACACACATCAAATTTATGATCTGAGAACAGATCACCTACAGCCAAAAAACGGGCAAAAATGCAATCAGGGAGGGGGTGCCTCTGTGGCTTTAGACAGGCCCCATTTTTAAAGATGTAAAAAAAAACATTTTTTTCATGTTTTTAGCACAATTCGTACAGAAGACTCCCCAAATACTCCATAGCCTGTGTGTGTGGTGAGAACACCACCCCAAAGAATGTAATTACCCACCCTGGAATTCTGCCAGGTTTAACAGCGTGTTTTTTTTCCTCTTTTCTTTCAGACTTCCCTCCCTTCTCACAGAAATGACAGCATTTTCATAAGCCCTCAGCATTACTAGGTAATTAGGGAGCAGTGCAAGTTCTGGAAAACACCCTGGGGCAGGATCAATGCCTGGGAAAAAAAAAAAAAAAAAAATGTATTCCAGGGGGAGCTCCTACGCAGAACCATCGTTTAAGGGAGAAATCAGATGCACTGACTTTTCCTTAAACTAGCAG